AAATAAAGCGAGAAAACCGTAGATTTAGGGGTCGCTCATTTGAGTAGGCCAGTTTAATTTTCTTTCTTAAACACATATTTTTGTTAATTACTTGAGAATTTTATATATATTTTGAACATATTTATCCTCACTCTTTCCCCTAACTCCTCCCAGATCCATCCCTTACCTTTTCATGCGTCTTAACTTCATGTTCTCTCATGTTTTTAAAAACAGCCAAACAACTGACCAAATCTAATATACTGATGCATGTGGGACCTTCTAGTTGAGTGTGGTGGAACCATACTCTGGCTTTAATTTTCTATTTACATTTACTTAAGTGAGTGTTATCCAAAGGAAATCGGGCTGAGGAGGCAGCTCAGTAAAGTGTGTGATGTGCAAGCATGAACACCTGAGCTCCACCCCCAGAGCCCAGAGGAAAGGCCTCACATGAAGGTACGTGCTCGTAATCCCAGGGGGTGTGGAGACACACAAATCCTCGGGACCAGCCAGCCTAATGTGTGAGCCTCACACTAGTGAGAGACCCTTTCTCAAAATAAAACAAGGTGACTCATGTCGGACACCCAAGCTTGTCCTCTGTCATTAGCATACAGGTGACATGCACTTACCCTGGCATATACATCTTTCTACCTATATAAAAATGTGTTTTTCTTTCTGTGTTTCTCTGTCTCTGTGTCTTTCTCTCTCTCACACACACACTCAGAGGGAGGAGAGAGAGAGAGTGAGAGAGAGACAGAGACAGAGAGAGAGAAAAATAAAGGCATATCAACCTCATGACTAGCTGTCACAGTTTCAAAAGACCATATGATCAATATTAATGGAGTCAAGGTTTCAGTCAATGTCTCCACAAAGATTTATGAATTCTATTCTATAGACCTGATAATGACTCTAGATCTCAAGGAAGAGTGAAGTACAAGAGTATTTAGAAATATGCACAAAAATTCATCAACTACCAAAGAAAATTTGTTCTGCTGAGTGTGGTGGTGCACACCTTTAATGACAGTACTCAGGAAGAAGATGCAGGCAGACTTCTGTTGGTTCAAGATTAGCCTGGTCTGCAAAGCGGGATCACCTCAGAAAAGAAAGAAAGAAGGGAAAAATTATTCTACGATGCTTGTTTAAGGTGGTAAGGCATTCTTATTTGTAGATGAGGCCAGGGCATAATCCTCATGGGTATGCAGATCACTGCGACAGAGGTTTGCATTTGGGGTGAGAGATGGGACTCAACTCCGATGGGTAGGAATTCAGGGCATGGACCAGGGTAGAGGTCAGTTAGAGAGGTAATTACTAAGAGGAAACAACCGAGGGAGAGAGGATTTGGCTAAACTGAGTGATCGGGATTCCTTCTGAGGCAGGGCAAGGTGGTCAGACATCATGCAGGGGTGGCTGGAGAGGATGGAGCCAATGATAAAATGAAAATGATTAGACATGGAAGAAGGGGATTCTAGCTGAGTTAACTTATCAGAAACTGGATTTCAAAGTTCATTAGCCTTTATTAAAATTGAACAACACAGAAAGAGGCATGGCCATTTGAAGCACCAGGCCTACCTCAAAAGTTCCGAAGAGCCTAGGAAGACTGTGGTCAAAGAACAAGACTCTGCCCACAGTGAGTGTGGTCTGAATGCTTTACTAAACCAAAAAGTCTGACTCAAACAAATTTAAACAGTGAGACAATTGGTTCTGTTCTATGAGAGACTCAGAGGTTGAGTCTCACCCCAGGGTGAGATTACAGTAATTCAAAGATATCACCAAGGACTCAAGGTTCTTTACATCTCCAGTATCTTCAGAATATGGGTCTGGCTTCTGTCCTGGTCATAAGATGGTGACAGAAGATTCAAATCCACAATGTTCAAATAACGAAGAGGGGCCCTCATATCTCCCATTTTAATGGGTGAAGAGGTCTTTCCCACCAACTTCTAGGAGACTTTCTGGGTCTTAGTAAAGAATGGGTCAAATGTCTATTCCTACATAAATAAGAAAAAGGTGGATTATAATGTCTGGTTTAGACCAGCAGTTCTCAACCTTGGCTACATGTTGGAAGTTGAAGAAAATGTTACCTGGCCTCCACCTCAGAAATCCTGCTTTAGCTGTTCTCAAAGGCAGTGTGGGTCAGAAGAGTTTTAACAGCTTCCCAGATCATTGTCACATGCAGCCAGCTATCCTGAGAGCCAATAGATTAGACCCAATCAAGGTCTGAGATAGGGTGGGGAGTATGTACTGGGCCAGAAGTCACAGGAGTCATTGAGTATTGTTTGTCCATGCAAAATGTAAAGACATGTGCGCACATGCAAATTCTCACACAGGATTGTGATCTGGTTGGGAAGAATCCGTGTTTGTAAAACGACCACATGCTTCCTAACAAGATGATAATGGAGTAGACCTCTGAAACTGTAAGCCAGGCCCCATTAAATATTTTCCTCTAACAAAAGCTGAGATTCTCTATTTTGCTCCATGTTTTTGGTGTGAGTCACCTTATTCTCAGATGTGCTGCACTCTGTCTCCACAGAGCACAGGACACCTGGATGAGCACTATGGAGTTTGTATAGAATGATGGCTCTCAATGTCAGCTACATTACAATCACCTGGGCAGGCTCTCTTTCTTTTATCTCTGAGACTCAGTTGTATGAGTGAAGAAGTCAGCAAGTCCAAGGCCTCTTTGTTCTGCCTTTGCCATTAAATACCTTCCACGTATTGACTTAATACCAAACTTGCAAATATTGTAAAAGATCATAAAATGATCCCCCAGTTTGTTTCTCATGATTATTTGCAGAATATTTTGATACTTTTGACAACCATCCCATCATCCACCCTACGTGCATTTATCAGGGAGAGTTCTCTAGTCTCTGAAGCTGCCTACGCATCCTAAGCAGACAATGTAGTTCTTTGCTCTCCTGTATTCTTTCTATAACTGTTTAATAACAATGACTCGGCACGAGAGTAAAAATCCCAGGAAGAAAAGTGCTGTATTAACTGCAGAGGGAGCTTAGTCTTTCCTAGGACACATGTACAATACTGGCATGTGCCTGTGGCATTGCTTTGCAACCAGGTTTTCCAGCAAACTGTCACTGGAAGGTTTCTTTTTATGGTGTTCGGGTGTGTCTGACTCTTGCTATATCTTGTCCTGGCTTAAACATATAGTCTTTTTGTATGTGAAGGACATTAGTTGTAGGCTAGGGCTTTGGAGAATCAGGATTTGTGTGTGTTTTCATACAAATCCTGAGCAGAAAATTCAGCAACCAGTAACTTACTGCTAAATTTTAACATCTTAAGGGCTTGTGAGCACTTTTCAAGAAATAGCAGTTGTCACGATTGTCACGATTGCTGATGAGACTTTCAGCCCCATTTCCCTTTTCTTAGCCACTTATGTCTTATAAAATAATTAAAAGCAAAAGCCTGGTGGGTGCTCTCTGCTGTGTCTTGCAAGTGTCCTGTTTGCAGAGCTCACTTCTTCTAGCCATTCATTATTTTGAGCCATTCATATCTAGTCACTATGGTGTACTTCATTCTGGAGCATGCAAATTTCACTTTGGGGCCAGAATGTGGGTTCTTTTTACTTGTTCACCTAATCATAGTTACAGCCAGCTGATTGGCAAGGCCTCCTTTAGCCACAAACTCTTGTCATGCTACAAATGCACATCTCGGTTTTCTCAGTAATTTTCACTATGAAGCTTATTCCTCCAAATTCTGATAATTTTTCCTTATGAAGATGATTCCAATTCAAATATGTTGTGATGCTGCAACAAGAGTCTGTGGTGGATCAATCTAGGATCAAGTCCAAGGGAGCAGATTTACTCAGACAACTATATAACCTCAACTAATAGCAGATTCAAGTCTAGTCATCCTGCAGAGGCTTGTGGCCCAAGGCGATAGTAAATACTCTGTGGATAATAAATCAATCACATCTGGCTGATGTCTGGTCCTGTATTTCACTGCAAGATTTTTATGGATACAGGAAAGCAAATATCCTCTAGATTTTATTATATGTCATCTGTGATACTCAGAGCATTTCAAATATAAAAAGTCTGCACATTTAAAGCTGTCACTGTTTTCTTACTAGCATTAAAGTGTCTGAAAGGAAATGGAGATCACTGCAAATATGAAGTTCCATGTGCTCCACCAATTATATGGAATTACATTTTTGGTGAATCCTCTTAAAGTAACCTTTTCTGTAAAAAATGCTACCACAATTTACAAAAATACATGGTTAAAGAACTTCTAGTGTCACCTTGGAATCAGAAAGCTCATCTGCCAGGCACCTACTGCTAAAGGCCAGTGTGTATGCTTTACACCTGGCTGTGCATTGAGCTGCTGTCAGGACAGTGTCCCTCATAATTGACAAGCAGGAGAAGATAAACTAGGAAAAGGAGGCTGGTAAGGAAGATAGATTTTCATTTACCATGAGGTACATTCTGCAGCAGGAAACACCACTACCTCTTAAATAAATCTTTCAAGGCAGGAAAAGAAAGCACTCCGTGAGAAAGCTTTACGAATGGAGACTGTCCTCCTGCTGTAGGTGACTGTGTCCTTTAGGCGAGCCTGCATGCCCCTTCTTTGTATTAAGTAAAATGAAAGTGTAAGGATGGATGATCCGATTCGGTGAGTTGGTTACAGAATGGTACTGGCATCTGTTACTCTCTCTCTGCGATCCATTACTTTTGCTCTGTTAAAGGCAGAACATTTGATTAACTGTTGAGATGTAGACAGGAAGGGGATCCAAGGTGGGCAGTGAAGTATATCACATAGTTAAATCTCTATTACATCTTCACTTCACCTGCTTCTCTATTTCCAGATATCTGGCAGACTGGCAGCTGGGGACCTCACTTCAGGGGCTGGAGAGTTTCATTTTTATTCCAAGAATAATTGTGTGTTTGTACATGTGTCGATAGGCACACTATAATAGTTCATCAATAAAAATGCTGAACCAAAAGGTAGTTTATCATTTTCAGGACTAATTAAGAATAAATCTCTCATTCTCCAATAAAGATATGCATTATTAGATCAACTGAAAAGGGAAATTATGAGAATTTTATTGTTTCTAAATATTAACACAATACATAGTTTACGTACAATGGTAACAGAAAAGAGGGACTGCCTTGTATACATTCACAGCTAGAGTTGTAAGCAAAAACATCTTGTAAAAACAGAACCTTCAGTCTTTTTTAGTAAGCAGCAAGTTATAACATTTCCCCTAGTAGTAAACATTTTCTGTAAACCAAGTACTAGAATACATTACTTTGAGAGGCAGTCATGTATTTCCTTTTGGCCAGGCTCATCATTCTAGGGTATTAAGGAAGGCAGGCTTCCTTTGTATATATTTTACTGAAATAGATGCTGTTGCCAAAAGTAATTGGAGAAGGGGTCTAGTAGCTGAAAGTGTTGTAAGACCCCCAGGAGTAAGAATTGTTTAAGACCCACAGAGTGCAGAAAGTCTGCAAATGTTTTCATTTTCAGTTCAACACTTCTCTCTAAACTAAAAACTTTGCAAAGCTTCTAAACCTGAGCTTCCAAAGGGCTCAGTGGGTAAAAGTGCTTGCTGGGTAAGTCTGATGACTTGAGTTCAATCTACAAGACTCATGGCAGAAAGGGGAAACCTCCCAAAAGTTGTTCTGACTTCTACAAATACACCATGGCACCCACATGCCTACACACACACTTTTAAAAAAAACTTCCACACTTAGTACTTGTAAAGAAATGAAATGTTGATTGCAAAACATAATAACTAACTAACCAAGCACATCATGAAAGAAAAATGAAGCCACTGGCTAAAAATAACCAGAAAAGAACCTAAGATAATGATTCTGTTAGTACTTGTACTTTCAAAAAGACTTAGACTTGGTCCAAACTAGACTTTGATTTTTATTGGGGTCCAGAAAGTGAATGAACTCAAACAACAGTTAACAGAAAGGCCCCAAACAAGACCAACCAACACACAAATCAACCAAGAAACAAAAAACCTGGAGGCAAATGGCTAAGAATTCGATTTATTGGGCAGCATAATGTACCAAGAGAACACTCTGCCTTCTGTTTCTCTGCTGATGAAGAGAGGTTTGCTGTGGCCCAGCTACTAGGTCTACATGGTAGTCTCACTACACTGTACACTAGTAACTGACAAAGGCTAAGACCCCTTTCCAGCCCAAAGTCGAAACACTAAGTGCTGTGAAGGTTTCTGCCTCAGTAGGGATGTTGTGGCAGCAATGTGGACTATGGCTCATAGTAAGAAAATAGGGAGCCTATATCACAGTGGTTACAAGGGCGCAAAGACTGTTCTGTTATAGCTTTAAAAGAGTCAAAACTGAAATAAGCATAAAAATGCAGAGGAAAACAAAAAGTAAAATACAGATTTGAAATAAAGTCTAATGACCTTTTCAAAAGTAACTACATGTTCCACCCTATGATCTCATAAATCAGAGCTTTCAACTGTCTGGACTCATAGGTGACTGTATTCTTCCCAGTGTGCATCCTCTCTTCCTCCAAGGGCTGCTCTATGACAGCAGGGATGTTCCTGCCAAAAATTTCACAGTGCTCTAGGAACTGCACACATTCTTCAATGACAGTGTCCCTCAGCATGATTGTATGCTTTGACATGTTTTCTAGCAAGGACAGGAAGCATCTTTTGGCATAATACCACGTGTCAGTTCCTAGCTTCTTATGGTAAGGCTCCAGGCTCTTGATAACCCGAGAGATGCCAAAGTCATAGTTTCCTTTGGCACAGTAAAGTGTTCCTATCACCAGATTCACAATGCAAAGGTGGTAGATTTTCTTGTCTGGGTCGCCATAGGAGAGCTGTTCCTCCTCCTTTTCAATCTTCCTCATCAGCTCCTCAGCTTCCTCGTTTTGACTTGTCATGATGTAGGACACACAGAGGTTGGCTAACACAATAGCGCTGACACTCAGGATGTTATCATAGTTCTTCTTGACGATGGGCTCATAGAAGCCAATGGCCTCCTTGTATTTGTTCTCCTGCATGAAGAGAACATGGGCCACGTTCAGCTTCCACACATCATGGTCATTACAGAATTCCACAGATTTGCGGAAGATCTTCTCCACCATGGGGTAGTTTTCAAGATTCCAGTAGATTTTTGCCTGGGCCATCAGTACAGGGATATACTTCTCAAGAGTTTCATCATATTCATTCACAGCCTTTATGACAACTTCATCATCCCTGTTGTGTCTTGCTTCTTGTACTTGCTTAGTGAGTCTCCTGAGCTGCTCAGTCAGCATGCCTGCCAGCCCATCAAGCTTTATGAAAGCCTCTTCAGGAGCTGTCTGGCAAGTGATCATGGCATCCAAGAAGTCATAGAGATAGGGTGTGAGGAACTTGTAGGTCAAGTGGGCATTTTCTGCCAGGACATCAGCTGCCAGGTCAAAATACTCATATTTACAGTAGAGCAGCAACAGGTTGCCAAAGGTCTCTGGGGGAAAGGGGTTCTGCTGGAGCAGGAACTGGAGCTTTTCAAAGCCCTCTGTAGGCCTGGCATCCATGTTCATCAGAGCCTGGTTGTGCAGGGTCACAGGGTCCAACTCTTCCTCTGCCCTGGGTGGCATGTCAGTGAGGGCTTCCTGAGCTGCCTCATAGTTTCTCAGTTGGTACTCTATGGCTGCCTTGAGGTTGAAGGCTTCAACCAGAGCAGTCTGGTGAAGGACTACGGTGTTGCCCACACTGCGAACATCAATGCCTTCAGTGGTCATGCCCACACCTAGCTCTGGGTGTTGACGGATGCCACGCTCAATGATATTGGCGATATGCTTTAGAGCAGGGGCATAGTGCCTGTTGCTATAACAAGCTAAAGCCAGGTTGTAAGATACATCAGGCTGGTAGCCAGAAGCCTGCAGGGCTGCAAAGAACTTGGAACAGGCAGCTTCATAGTGTCCCTCCTTGTAGAGCAGACAACCCATGTTGACCAGACCATCTGGGTCATTCTCCCCTCCACTGTCTTCTCCAGCTTCCCCACTCAGCAGCTGCTCCACCAGGCTCCTGGCTCCTGGCAGGTCGCCCTCACTGTACTTGATAGCAGCTTGGAGACGAAGGACCCGGCTATAATAGGTGGGGTTGTCCAGAAGGAAGGCGACCCGCGTGGCCTCTGGATACAGGCAGGCCTTGTACAGTGCCTGGGCCTGGTACAGGCGGTACTGCTCGAGCTCCGGGTGCATCTGGCTCAGTTGCTCATAGCACTCTGCAGCGAGCTCGAACTCCTGCAGGTGGTAGTAGCAGTAGGCCAGGAGGGACAGCCCGGCGCGGCTCCGGGGACTCCGCTGCAGCTCGGCGCCCAGCAGCTGCACCGCCTCTGAGTAGCGGGAGTCGCGGATGAGCCGGTACACCACCGCAGTGAACTCACCGTCGGGGATCTGTGAGCCGCTCAGACCCGCCATAACTGCCAAGACTGGTGAGTGTACTGGTTCCCAGGGCAACAAGCTAACGGAAAGGGAAGTCTGGAGAAGCTTCTTAACGTATCCCGGAAGTTGCTTTGTACCAAAAGGAGCCCGCCTGGTGTTCAAAAGACTGTGACTGTTTCTTGCACTTAACGCAAACAGAGAAGTTCCCGAACACAAAGCAGCATTTTAATATTCCTCTGTGTTTCTTTCAGATATGAAACCATCACATCTTGAGCGAACAGGTACAGGTGAAATAATAATGTGAAGTGCAGTAAATTAGAAAAAAAAACCCTTTAGTCTATTCTTTGACCCACTTGCTAGTATTTCTCTACCTAAAGACATCATTGTGTGTCTGAATGTTTATAGTATATGCCATACCTCATATATAATATATATGTAACTCCTGTATACATACGACTAATTCCTTCTTGAGGGAAAAAAAAGTATTTCATTATAGCAACAATCTTTACCTTTCAGTAGAAAGCTGATGTTGCATCGTAAGGATTTTCAAGGCCTACCTTTTTTGATGTTCTCTAAGACAGACTGGCGTTATTGAGAACAAAAGACTAACAGGGCTGGTGAAAACAAGGGTAAAGACCTTTATGTTTGTACTAAGCGGAGTGCATGAGAACAGTGAACAGCAAACACCATCGGGTTCCCCAGAGAGCTCGCTGAGAAGGCTGTGGCCGTGAAACTGGTAAAACAAATACAAAAAAATAATGCAGGATAGGCTCAATACGGTTTAAAATTATATAAACATAATTTCATATATCAGTACTTATGTACCACCAATTTCAGTAGAGACTCAATAATGCCAAATAATAGAACAAAGTATATTTCTCTTTCCCAAGCTGGTATAAGGAATCCGAGCATTGTCTCCTAATTTGCTGCATAAGTATAGAAATTAAATATTGACTTTTAAAATGACGTGTATTATCAATCATTGCCAAAGGTCAATCATGAACAGTAAAAATGTCAGATATCTGTCAATTATTTATTATCTTCAAACCACAGAACTACACTTTTACTTAGGAAGAAAATTTCACAATAAATTCTGCACATACTAAGAAAAACCACTAAGACCATGAAAACTTTCGTAAAAGAAAACAAACTCTCTAGAACTCCATAAAACAAAACAAACTTTAAAATCTAAAGTATGCAAAACTTCTACACTACAAATAAAATAACCATGAGAGTAAACTAAAGCGGAATGTGTATTCCCTGAAATTACTTCCAAAATCCAATGTACAATAACTAAGGTCCAGGGTCGACACATGTCCTCCATGGATGTAATGCTCTTCACAGACACAATAAAGTACGAAGTAAAACAAAAATGAAAGGACTTCCTCCACTCAGTTCTGAAAGGTGAAATACATGCTTCTGTACTCATTATGTTCATTTGGTGAAGTTTTTCATCAGGAAAAGCTATATCCAATTGAATATACATTTAAGGTAAACAATGCACACCATGTAAAAAGTGTGAAGATGCTAAAGCTTAGAGAGAAAACACAATGCCAAGATAACAGAGCTTTAAAAATAAAAGTCACTGGGAGAAATTACTACATGTTCCACCCTATGATCTCATAAATCAGAGCTTTCAACTGTCTGGACTCATAGGTGACTGTATTCTTCCCAGTGTGTATCCTCTCTTCCTCCAAGGGCTGCTCTATGACAGCAGGGATGTTCCTGCCAAAAATTTCACAGTGCTCTAGGAACTGCACACATTCTTCAATGACAGTGTCCCTCAGCACGATCATGTGCTTTGACATGTTTTCTAGCAAGGACAGGAAGCATCTTTTGGCATAATACCACGTATCAGTTCCTAGCTTCTTATGGTAAGGCTCCAGGCTCTTGATAACCTGAGAGATGCCAAAGTCATAGTTTCCTTTGGCACAGTAAAGTGTTCCTATCACCAGATTCACAATGCAAAGGTGGTAGATTTTCTTGTCTGGGTCGTCATAGGAGAGCTGTTCCTCCTCCTTTTCAATCTTCCTCATCAGCTCCTCAGCTTCCTCGTTTTGACTTGTCATGATGTAGGACACACAGAGGTTGGCTAACACAATAGCGCTGACACTCAGGATGTTATCATAGTTCTTCTTGACGATGGGCTCATAGAAGCCAATGGCCTCCTTGTATTTGTTCTCCTGCATGAAGAGAACATGGGCCACGTTCAGCTTCCACACATCATGGTCATTACAGAATTCCACAGATTTGCGGAAGATCTTCTCCACCATGGGGTAGTTTTCAAGATTCCAGTAGATTTTTGCCTGGGCCATCAGTACAGGGATATACTTCTCAAGAGTTTCATCATATTCATTCACAGCCTTTATGACAACTTCATCATCTCTGTTGTGTCTTGCATCCTGTACTTGTATGGTGAGTCTCCTGAGCTGCTCAGTCAGCATGCCTGCCAGCCCATCAAGCTTTATGAAAGCCTCTTCAGGAGCTGTCTGGCAAGTGATCATGGCATCCAAGAAGTCATAAAGATAGGGTGTGAGGAACTTGTAGGTCAAGTGGGCATTTTCTGCCAGGACATCAGCTGCCAGGTCAAAATACTCATATTTACAGTAGAGCAGCAACAGGTTGCCAAAGGTCTCTGGGGGAAAGGGGTTCTGCTGGAGCAGGAACTGGAGCTTTTCAAAGCCCTCTGTAGGCCTGGCATCCATGTTCATCAGAGCCTGGTTGTGCAGGGTCACAGGGTCCAACTCTTCCTCCATTCTTGGTGGCATGTCAGTGAGGGTTTCTTGGGCTACCTCATAGTTTCTCAGTTGGTACTCTATGGCTGCCTTGAGGTTGAAGGCTTCAACCAGAGCAGTCTGGTGAAGGACTACGGTGTTGCCCACACTGCGAACATCAATGCCTTCAGTGGTCATGCCCACACCTAGCTCTGGGTGTTGACGGATGCCATGCTCAATGATATCGGCGATATGCTTTAGAGCAGGGGCATACTGCCGACTGCTGTAATATGCCAAAGCCAGGTTGTAGGAAAGGTCGGGCTGGTAGCCAGAAGCCTGCAGGGCCGCTAAGAACTTGGAACAGGCAGCTTCATAGTGTCCCTCCTTGTAGAGCAGACAACCCATGTTGACCAGACCATCTGGGTCATTCTCCCCTCCACTGTCTTCTCCAGCTTCCCCACTCAGCAGCTGCTCCACCAGGCTCCTGGCTCCTGGCAGGTCGCCCTCACTGTACTTGATAGCAGCTTGGAGACGAAGGACCCGGCTATAATAGGTGGGGTTGTCCAGAAGGAAGGCGACCCGCGTGGCCTCTGGATACAGGCAGGCCTTGTACAGCGCCTGGGCCTGGTACAGGCGGTACTGCTCGAGCTCCGGGTGCATCTGGCTCAGTTGCTCATAGCACTCTGCAGCGAGCTCGAACTCCTGCAGGTGGTAGTAGCAGTAGGCCAGGAGGGACAGCCCGGCGCGGCTCCGGGGACTCCGCTGCAGCTCGGCGCCCAGCAGCTGCACCGCCTCTGAGTAGCGGGAGTCGCGGATGAGCCGGTACACCACCGCAGTGAATTCACCGTCGGGGATCTTAGAGTTGCTTAGCCAAGCCATCACCGCCAAAACTACCGCGTGCTAGTTTCCAAGGCAACTAGGTAACCGGAAACGGAAGTTTATGGCTCGGGCGTCGCCTTGAGGTAGAGATAATCCATTAGGCACCAAAAGGAAACATAAACAAAATCCCTGAATTTTCGTTATGTGTTATATAAGTACAATCTGAGTAGAAACAGAAGTCAGCGAGGGAATAGCTTCAAACAATCCAAACATATATATTCTTGTTTTCTCCAGGCACACACCATTGTCACTTCCCTATGGGACGGAGCCACTTTGCATTCTGGGAATTGTAGTCTCCTTTCAAGACGCTTAAACCCTGTGTACTTTTGGAGTAATCTGACTCCTTTATAGGTTATTTTTGTTTGATTGTTTGTTTGTGTATCCGACTATGAAAACATTATACAAAGCCATTTGGGCATGTAATGAGAGGTCAAAATAAAGTGTTGCTTGCTGGATAGATATTACAACCTCAGTGGTCTGTGTAGGGCTTGTACATGAGTTGTTTTTGAGGTATATACACAGTTTTTTGGCACTGATTTTTTTGTTTCGCATACTTTGAAATCTCCTAGAATTATGATTTGTGCTGATCTAAGTGCGGTTCTTAGTAGAACCACACAGTGATCACATATTTTGTACCAACTAGAAGATGATCTATAACAGCGGCTTTTGTTTTAAAATCAGTTTATTGAGAACGTAGCAAGTAAAAGAATAAGTAGGAAGTAGCATAAACATCGGATAGATAATTCAATATAATGAAATTAGAGCTTACAAATATTTAGTTGAAATCACCTAGGAAAAGTCCATTGAGGAGGTTAGCTGGAATTCCCAGTGAGAATCCCTGGCAGAACAGAGCATCTTGTTGGGTAACTGTTCCAAGTAAAATAACAAGTGCCATGAAGCAGATACACGAGAGCATCAAATCAGGCATTTCCAATTATCTCCCAGAAATGACTACAACAAACCTTTTGAAAGAGTCATACTTGAGTTCCCAACCCAGAATTCTGGGCAGAAGAACCTTCCATCATCCCTATTGATTTCCAAATTGGAGGCAGAGAATCTGACCCTGGAATGGTGGGAATCTTTTGAAATCTTAATGCCCATCTCCAGTGACACATTCCTAAACAATTCTACCAACTGGCGACTAAGTATTCAGACCTGTGAGCCTATGAGGGACACTCTTATTCAAACCACCATAGGGGTTGAACCATGATAACCAAGAATTAAGTTCCTTGGGAAACAGCGAGTGGCAAATACTTCAAAACACATTTCTGATAATTTGTAAACTACTACCAATGTGTATGAGGAAAGATTACTCTTAAAAATAGAAACAACCAACTAAATTGGTATGGGCAGTAGACTTCAGACATTCATGCCTCACCTGCAGCTTCAGATGTACAGTGACCAGTAGGCGTTGCATAGCTCCTAGTTACCCAGCATCACAAAGACTTGAGTAGGTGTACAATTGCTCATGCCGTAGAAAGACTGACTTCATGTACTTTTTCATCCTTCAGTCTTGCTGAGAATTAGAAGCTATGTGACTTCTTGGATGCCATCAGACAAAGAACATTTAATGAAATCCATAAGAAGGAAGGAAAATTGTACCCATTTCATATGTGGTAGAGTGGGTCTTTGGCTCACCAGAGGTCTCCACAGAGGAGTACTTCTGAATCCCCTTCTGAGCCTTCTTTTACCCCGATTCCTAGTGTATCCTCTTAGGTAAAGTCTGGGGTCGGGGATGTGACCTCTGATGCTCTAATCTTAACAAATACAATGCATCTTCTCCTTTACAACCAGTGGCCTGCCGGACATTTGTTCCCTCAAAACTGACACTCAATATTTAAAAATCTTTATGCGTAGCCTGTTATCTTGAATAAGCTGGCATTAAATTTAGTAACCATGGAAATAAGAAATGCCCTTTTATCCCTTCAGTTTCTCTCTGTTTGCAAAGCTGTACTTACACATTATGAAACCATCCACCTTCAGATGACTTTCTAGAACCCACAGAAAAAAATGAAAGGACAGCTGGCTTTCCCCCAAATTTCTAGGCTACCCACAGGGGTCACCTGGGTTTCTCCTCTCTGTGTTAGTGCCTGCCCGTGAGCACGGCAGTTGACGTGCACAGGCGGAGGGACGTTCTGTGTCCTCCTCCTCATTTCGTGGGCTGCTACCCCAGTGGTCTGGCTTGAAAAGAGCAGGGCGTTTGGCTTAGACAGATGGAGGGCAGGGTCATTTTCAAATGCAATGAGTGCCCCAATCCCACTGTGAAACTGGCATGACCATAACCGCTGCTGAGAGAGGCAGGCTTTTATTTGGTCACTGATAGGCAGTTGGGGAATAGTTTCATTGTTTTTTTGGATGGGGAATGAAAGGATGTCCTTTAGTTAATGATGGAAAGTCTGGAAAGCAAAACTGGGTAGAAGATTATGAAGTATAAAAGATCATATTTTTGTGGGGGTTACAATGGGGTCTTGAAAAGCCAATGCTATCCTCAGCAAGAGGACATGTGGTAGTGTTTATAAAGTGTGCTAGACATGTGTAATGGAGTTAATGATTGACAGACTAAGGGAGACATGGTTACCAGGAAGAGTTCAATTTAGGCAAAAAAAAAAATCAGAGCTAAAAGCATGTTTAGCATACTTCAGATCTTCCTGCCAAAATACAAAGTGATCAAATGTATGATGTATTGCACATTCTCTTTTACAACTAGCTGAAAAGTATGTTTTCTTACCCAATGAACACAATCATTTGTGGTTGGTACATTGTTCATGCATTAGTGTTGCACGCACAACCTTGTATAAGAATTTTCCTTGGCAAAGGAAGTCCTTTGCAAAGTTACTGTTTTCTTTCCCCTGGCCATTTTCTTCAGGATGGCCAGTTTGGGAGCTCAGTCCCATAGAATTCTAGTCTTCTCAACCCCGTCTCCACTCTGAACAGGGAAGCAATGAATAAATTAGTGCCAGATTTGCAAGGTTGTTGACTGACTCTTAGGAGCCTGAGTTCAGTGCTTTGAAGCCTTGGGGCCGCCTGCTTAGCTGGATAAACATTTCATCTCACTAGGGCTCACCTTTCAGGGGAATCTTAGTGTCTAAACAAGATCTCTCTCTTGAATGGACTTTGATTATGATCACGTAGCTTATATTTTAAGGTTTACAGTGTCACTAAGTTAACCTATCTCCATTGTGCAGTAGTGTTGTGGTTTATAAAAGGGATTAGTGGGGAAGGCAAAATTGTGGATACTAATTTGTAAAACAATGGAGCAACCTTTCTTTTTTTTTAAATGCATTTATTTTTATTCTATGTACATTGGTGTTTTGCCCGTAGAATGTTTGTATGTGGGCACTGAATCCCCTGGAAGAGAAGTTACAGACGGCCGTAAGATGCCACACAGGTGCTGGGAATTGAAACCAGGTCCTCCGGAAGAGCTCTTAACCACTGAGCCATCTCTCCAGTCCCTGGACCAGACTTTCTAAGAGCTACTCCAAGCTGCAGCGCTTATGCAGTACTTTCATCACCAGGCTCGCTTTGCCTGAATTCCGTCATTAGTCCCCACAGACTTTCTGTGGCTTAGAGATTCTTATTTCCAATTCATGCTAGAGTTGGAGGCTGCAATTCACAAAGAAGCCAGTGGCTGCATCAGGCAGCCCTAGTGATTGCTTACACTGTCCAGTAGAGGGCCACACTGCACCTCTTCCTGCTCTTCCTGGGTGTCTCCTCCCCTGCCGTTTGAATTGGCTTTGGATTGTTTGTTGCAATTCATTGTAACAGAACAGGCACGGTGATGCAAGGATTTTAAAGCTTGAGCACCGAAGCCATTGTATAATTGTATCACATCACTGTGGCTGTCAGCACCCCCCTCCCCGTGTAACTGCCCACGCCAATTTAAGCAATACGTAATGGACGCAGAGACCTAGCTTTTGGGAGCAGAATTCTCCTACTTCCAGAAAACCTTCAGTAATTCGAGAAATCTTTTATTTAAAAAATGAGGTCCCAGTATCGCTCTCCCACAAACAGCCAACACTGACCAAAGTTAATGAATTAAATTGTCACGATTAAATTCTAGGTATTAGAATGCCTGCACCCTCAACACAAAGATTATTACAGAATGTTAGTTAAACATTAAGCATTTTATTAAAAACAAGTTTTCGTTTTCTTAAAGCAGTCCGTTTCAAAGCGGTGGGTAGTTGCTTCTGAAATGGCCAAGTAGCGGTTTAACCAAGTGTCCTTACAATATAGTATTAGCCTGCAACTACACAGAGAGAGGGGCTTCACATAACATATTTCCCTTCTTTTGTGTAAAACAACAATAATTAGGAAACAAGTCAGTAGGGGACCCTCTTTTAGATCAGTGTAAATCAAAATAAAATGGCAAAAGCAATGGCCCTCCAAGGGAATGGGATTCAATAAACTAGACTTCTATCTCCACACTGTGCTTCACTTTAAAATTGCTCTAAATATGAGTTAATCTAAATCTACACCAAAGCAAAAGAAAAATGAGCTCTCCAACACACATCTACACAGAAATGAACACAGACAAATGATGGTTTTGAAGAAGACACTTTTCTTTTTCACAGCATGTAGTTCATTTACTTAATAAAACAAACATTTTTGCACCAGTGTATACATTCAATAGCATTGGTTGTTATAGATTGATACATAGATCATTTGTCTCTAGTGCTGCTGAGAGGTGCACAAACATGCAAGGACATTCAAAATCAAAGTGTGCACAACCTAAAGTCACTAGCTGGGGGAAAGGGGTGACACAGACTGTGCGCGCACAGCACTCAGCACTGCTAAATCTCATGCCATTCATGGAATTCCCCAGACACACCTTGTTTGATTTTTGCCATCCATGTTCTATCGTTGTTCGCTTAGGACGAGGGTTCTCAACCTTCCTAATGCTGTGACCCTTTAATACAGTTCCTTGTGTTGTGGTGACTCCAACCATAAAATCTCTTTTGTTGCTACTTCATAACTGTAAATTTGCTACTGTTCAGAGGAGTAATGTAAATATCTGATATTTGATCTCCAATGGGGTTTTGACCCACAGGTTGAGAACCGCTGACTTAGGAAGTGTGTGACTTCTAGTGGCCAGACTCAACCTTTAAATTCTTAGTTCATTTGGGGTTTGAGAGATCTTCACACGGCATGGTGGAATAACTATGTTACTATGAAGCATTAGGAACTCACTAAAGGAGGCGTAGCAAAGCTTTTAGAGTCCCAAGTTAGGTCACATTTAGTTGCTTTAATGAATCTTTTTGTCATTTTCCCCCACTGCCACACAGTTTTCTTTATGTTTAATTTCATCCAAACATGTTAGATTTCTGCAGCACTTGAGAGGAATTGTTCCTATTACTGGAGGTTACGAATTTTTTTTGTCTTTCTGCAACTTACTAGGTTCAGTAGGAGAAAGGGTTTTAAAAATAGTAGTACAGCAAAGTAAACTGAGTAAAACCAGTCTAATGACTTAAGTATCTAAAGTATGCTAAATTTTGATATACAGAAAAAGCAACTGAATTCCAGAAACATACTACTGTTACTGCACTAATAAAAAATGCTAAGATCATTTTTACTCCAAGATATTTACAAACCTAAAGTACCTGAAAGCAGGTATACCCCCAGGTTTCAGAAACAGAAAAGTCATGTACAATTTTTACTTTTCTTGGTCCTCTTTACAAACTCACTTTTACACTAATGATTCCCATTTGGGATTCGACGACATGAGATAATCGGAAGCTGTTCTTTTTGACATAAGAGAAAACACACAAGCAAGTGTTGATGACAGCATCATTCCCATTCATTAGAGGCTGGCTCAGACACTTTGTAGGAAGGTTGTCTTTTGTGTCTACTCCCTCTATACGGAAATGCTTACATATGTCTTCAGGGTAAAGAGAACTCTCTCAGGTTTGCTTCTGTTTTATTTGAGAAGCAGAAAGAAGGAAATTACCTAGATGAAATTCCATAAGCAAAGCATAGCTTGGTCCTTTGATGCAGAAACTGAAGGAAAGTTGGGGCTTTCAGTTAACAGATAGAAACCTGAAGCCTGCAGAGTCCCAAGTCACAGGCCCATCGCCTAGGATGGTCTGCTGTGTACTGGTAGGGACCCTTGGTGGTTTGCCAAGCTGAACTCACCCACCAGCATCCCCAGCTGTGTTGTAGGTTGTGCAGCTATTAGCTATATACTCACTAACATGAATGGATACAATTTCTGAAAAAATACATCTTATACAAAAGTAGGATGTGTCATCTCAGCTGATCATGCCAAGAGACCCGAGGAAGCAGACAGTCAGACAGTCTTGTCTGCCTGAGGTTTTTTTTTTTTTCATTTGTAGAGGGCTCACATTTCAAATGCCTTTCTCCAGCAAGAAGCAACAGTGAAAAGTGGGACATTTCCTTGTTCTGTGCTTTGGAAAGATAGACTAGAATCGCACATAAGTAGGATCACGTTCATGGCAAAGAAATATGTGTCCTAGAATTCCAAAGTCTGACCTCTAGGGTTTGGCATCAGGAGGGCTACAATAATCTCTGCCACTTCTCCATAGTCATGGAGGAACAGACCCAGGGCATTAGTCAGCAGTTTCTGAATCTTGACCCACAAAAGGAAAGATACCTTGAGACAGGAGAAATAGATGGAGGCAATTACAAACAGCTATTTGATTGATGGTTGACATTGTCAGGGCTCCACTATCTGGCAGATTGCAATGGTGTTGAACTCCCCGTGCTACCAACGGATGTTGCTATTGGCAACCGTGCAGTGAAGCCAATAAAAAAGGCAAGAAGATGAGAGGAAAACTCAACCTTAGTGGAAGCCTATAAATTATGTCCCCCCTGCATTGTGTAGCATCAACATCCAGGGTGAAAGGGAGCTGCTGTCTCATTGCTGCTGCAGTCTCTGGAAGACACTCGGTCCAGTTTTATCATAAAGCACACCCTTGAAGATTTTGCTTTACATGGACTGGCATCTTTTCCCCCTGGCTATTTATTTACTGTTAGGAAGGGTAACAGATGTGGGCTCACTGCAGCCTCACATGGACAGATTCTCGGTTCCCGTCTACAATATAAACCTGATGTGGTGAGGCGGTGCCATGCACAGACACACCTGCAGTGCTTCCGAGCCAGCCGAACCAGCCACAGACACAGGATCTTGCAGACCGGGGTCTCCACCCATCCTTTGTTCCTCACCTGAAGGAGGGAGACAGCTCTGCAGAAGCTATTTTCCTTTATAGCAGAGTGATTCAGAAAACTGGCTTAATAAAATCCATAAATCTGCACAGGCCCCTCTTACCTGCTCTGCAGAGGCATTTTTTTCTGTACTCACCTCCCTCCCCTAGTCTCTGCAGCCTTCCCTGCAGACAGGGCTGTAAAGGGCAGCAACGGTATTTCTCGGTGCACTCACCCCTTCCTTCTCTCCTTTGTCAAGCTTCTTTCTCCCCATGTAACTGTCTCTCTTCCCTGCTCAATTGGTGACATGATTCTGCACCCTCATTTTTTTTGGAGGGGGTGCTGTAAGTGCCCTTTTTCTTTGTTTGGACTGACTTTCACCTCTCCTCAGCCGTTGTCTTAACCATCTGCTTAGCCCCCTATCTTCTCCTAGCCCCCACCCTCTGCCTGGTTTATAATTTTTTTTTTTGGTTTCTTGCTATAACAAAGCTGCCTTCTCCATGCTGATTGCCAGCTCACGCCACTCCTGTTTTGTACCTTCATGTTATCCCCCCATCTTCAAATATCTGACCACCATTTCTTTTGGATTTGAGTAAAGCAAATAACCGATGCTGATCAGCAAAAGCAAGAAAAACTGTTTTGTACGTGTTATTGTTCAGAACTGGGCTGACTCTCAGGTTTCCCATGCCCCAGGGATTTTCAGGGTGCTCAGAGGCTCTCTTGGAGTGCCATGTATGTGAACAAAGAGATGATGATTTGTGTAGGCTCTGGACTCTCCCAAGACTTGTGGGTTCTGGACTCCCCCAAGACCTGTAGGCTCTGGACTCCCCCAAGACCTGCTACAAACAGAAGACCCCACCTTTCATCTGTCTTGTGTCCTGGGGAGTCCTTGAAAGTTTGTTTGAACAAAGGATTAAGGTTTCTGTAGATAAGTTCCTAGTGTGATGATGCACTTGACAATCTGAGAAGCAGAGAAATGCAGTGACCTATCCAAAGTCATGATGCGACGGGAAGGACAGCAAGCCCAGTAGTTTTGGGTGAAGACGGACCCTGTCCATAGTGTCAGCTGAAATCAGCATCAAAGCAGCTTTCTAGTTACACCTATTTAAAATAGTCTCTGTTTTTTTCACCTGTAGACCTGACTTCCTAGAGGACATAGGTTGTATAGACCTGTAATCCCCTGGCCTTTCTAGAATATTCTTTTTTCACTTAAGGAAAAAAATGTAAAATTGAGGTACCTTAAATTTTATCCCCAACCTTTTTCAAGCTAGTTCGTGCTCAGTCACAGGGCTCCTCTGCACCAGTGAAACCACGCCCCCACCTCTGCTGGAAGCAGTTCCAGTGTTCACATGTCACTTGTGGTACATGTGCCTGTAAATTCCCCTTCACTTTTGCTTTAATAAAATTAATAATACATTCCTCCCAGCAAAAGGCTTGGCCTACAATGAAGGCCGAATTAAAAAACTGACCAAGTGAACCATGATCTCACTGCAGAGTTACAGATCCTGGGTAACACCAATTAGACAAACACACTCACGGCATTTCTACTAGGGACCCTTGGGGAAGATTGGGGTTAGTTGGTGTTCATAAGGCAGGGAAGCTCATCCAACAGCCAAATGAGACCAAGGGTCTGGCACATCACTAAGAAATAGTTGAATTAGAAATTAAACACCCAAGATGCAAATCGAGACAGTCTGGCGCAAAGCCCTGCTCCAGGAGAGGCTAGCTGCAAAACAGGGAAGTCTTATAACAGAAAAGTGCCCTACATGAAGCAGTGTCAGTGACACTTTTACCACGGTGTCCCCTCAACTCAGAATGAGTGGGGCTAAGGCTCGTGGATCCAAATCCATCCTTGTGGGTGCATCACCGAAAGTCGAGGGTCAAGTTCTCTGCGCGACTCTGTCCCTCACCCTTCCATTGCGCTGCTGCCAAGCACACTTCAGGGTGCGCTTCCTGGTCCAGCCTACACAGTCTACACTTTAGGACTGTCTGAGCTGAAAGAAAAGGCCCACGCGGCTGCTGAAGCCGACCCTTCAGGCTGCAGAGGACTCTCCACGTCACAGGGTTGCACCGGGCTCTGGGTGGTTTACAGTCTGTCTTCGCCCGCTGCCGTGAAACTCGAGGGGGCGGGGGAGGCAGCAGAGACCTGCAGTCTTTTTTGATGTAACTCCTCCCACTTCCTTCGGTTGGCAGCCACTGAATCCAGCATAGGCTTCAGCTTCACGTTGACCTTCACCAAGGCCTAGAACAAAGGAGAAAAAGGTGGAGAGAGAGGAATCCGGCTCAGGGATTTGTGTACTCTTCCTCCTTCTGTTTATAAGGGGCATGGAACAGTTATATGAAAGGAAACGGTTACTTGGGTAAACACAAACTATTTCTGAGAAGTAGGCATGCTCCAACACTATTATGCTCCATTCATAAAGCCTGTGCTGAGAATGAAATAAACAAGATGGCCGTGTACCACCCGAGGGAAAGGCAGCCTTGTAGACTCCGTCTGGGTTTACAAGTATCAAACAAAAAGGAAGACAAAAATGCCGCTCACCTTCATCTATTAATGACCATATCTTCGCCTGCCAGAGAGAGTTTTGCCTATCAGAAGCTCCGAACTTACATTAAAAACAAAAAACAAAAAACGAAAAAACCTCGGGATGGCATCTGCCGCAGATGCCTGATGAGCTTTCCCACAGGAGAAAGACTCAGGAGATTCCCAAGACAAGAGGAGGGACTCATTTTCCAAAAGCAAAAGGGGTGGTGGCCATGCTGAACATACAGATTACCATGGAGTGACTCCCTGGAGCTGCCACTCAGAACAAGGGTTTTGACCAGGCTAAAGTGCTGCCTGAGGCAATGTCTGGGTCTGTGGTTCAGCTGCAGCCTGGGTCTGCGTTGAGCTCTGTGGCACAGGTTACCACTAGGGCCCATACAGAGGCCCAGGATCTGGGCTGGAGCCTGGCCACGCCACAGCAGATGCCACCTAGAACCATGAAGAAGCCCGTGGTCAAAGCAGCCGCCTGAGTCTGGGTTGGTATCTGAGAACCAGGATGCACCCTGAGTGGCCTGTGCTGCTACTCAGTGACATGGTGATGTCTAGGTCTGAGCTGCAGCTGAGAGCCAGGGCAGGGTCCATGGCCAAATTGCAGCCAGAGTCTGTGCTGATGTCCGATGTTCCTGCTACCATCGAAGGCCATGCAGACACACAAGATCAAGGGCCAACTTAGTGTCTCAGTCATGTTGGGGTCCATTGTGTCTACTGTGGCTGGGAGTCTGACCTCAGATCTGGGTCCTACATTGCCACCAGTGGTCACGTAGAGGCCCAGGGTTGGGGCCACAACCTGAGACCTTGGTGGTGTCCAGCAGCCACACGGCTGCCAGAACCAATTCCACCTGAGTGGACATTCCTTCCACCCAGAACCAAGGTGTCATCCAGGCCTAAGCTGCTGCCAAGGGCCATGTCTAGGTTCATGGTCCAGCCATAGCCGGGGTCTGTGCTGGTGTCTGTGGCTAGTGTCACCTTAGGAGGCTTTAGGAATCATTCCAGAGGGCTATATTGAACCAACCCCCCCCCTTCACTGCCCTGGGAAAGCTGGCCTCTCACTGCCCACTAGAGCAAGACAGTTGGCCCCTACACTCAGGAGAGAGGGCTCCCACGTGGATGAACCTAGCCTGAGGGCATGCGTGTAGGGGAGCTCACTCCACCACCGCACCCAGGGCCTTAGTGGCTCGGTCTGTCATGTCTGGCTAACAACCAGGCCTGCAACTGGGTCTTGGGTTGAGCTATCCTAGCATCTGCCGCATCTAGGTCCTGCTGGAGTTCATGAAGGGACTGGTCCTGAGGAATGATACCCACAAGATGTCCAAGATACAGGATACCCCAGAAGAGCTCCAGTGAAGATCCAGTGAGGATAGTGTGCCAAAAAACCAGAGGCCTTGAACCAGACCAATGGCTCATGCAATGAACATTTGCCAGTCAAGCTGATGGGTCGAAGGAGTATCCTATATGACTCACCGAAGCCTCCATTGCCACCAGGATGGATGACGAGGGGATGGAGAGGCAGGAGAGAAGGAGAAGCAGAGATTTTTCTGTTTCTGGTGTGGTTTTTGTTCTGTTTTGTTTATTGGATTTGTTGTTGTTGTTCTTGCTTTTATTTGTTTGCTTGCTTACTTTGTTTTGTTTTCTCTTGTGGGGGGATGCAACATGGATGAGAGGGAATATGGGGGGACCTGGAGGTGAACAGAATCGGGGTGCATGATGTGAAACCCTCCAAGATTCAATAAAGAAGTTTAGAAAAACCCCATGGAGTAACATAGACTTGAACGATATGAAAGGACGACAGTGACCTAGTGTCCTTCTGGGTGTGGGGGAGGGGCCTGCTGACAAGACATGGTATCGAGCCCAGAGTCCTGCCCTTCCTTGCATCTGGTCAGTTTGTCTGCAAGCCCTCTTACTTTCCTTTCTCTGCGTTCCTAGCTGCGCCCTCTTAAACCTTGTATCCCTTTTAACTCAGACATCTGTTTTCACTCTAGTAGTAGCATGTATGGAAACTGATATGAGGTGAAGTGAACAGGGTGGGGAAGAGAGTAGTGGAGGGGTATGGGGGGATGAGGAGAGAGGAAATGTGAGCCATGATCGGACAGGACAGATGGATCACCAGGCTCGTGAAACTGAGCCATAGCTCTTTCTATCCATTCTTTTGCATTCAATTCATCCTTTTTTAAGAAAAGAAATCCCTACTTCCAAGTGGTGTGACTGACTTCTGACCTTAGAAGCCCTGGATGGCCGCTGGCTGTGGAATGAGAATCCTGACTGTATGCTGTCTCCTTAGAACTGGATGCTCATGAGCCTTCTGTAGTTTTTGAATCAGTCTACCCAGAGATGGGGCGCTATAGGGTGGGCCGAAGACATTGCCTGTGAACTGGGGTTAGAACAGATTCAGAGAGCTCAGGCTAAATATCAGTAGAGAATCATCTTACCGCCAGCGGGGCATAGAGAACAAACACCCTGCTTAACTGGGAAAGCCTTGTTATTCTCTGTTCCATGGAAAGTTTTTAAACTTAGACTGTACAACTAAAAGTTTAGGGTTCTCTTTCTCTCTGTTAAAGCTTTTTATTGATTTATTACCTGTAGTGTTAGGGATCAAACCCAAGACCTTGTACATATTGGGCAAGTACTCTACCTCTGAGCTACAACCTTAGTCCTAATACTTTTGTCTCTCTTTCTCCCCATATTTTAATAAGTCTTACTGCTTATCATGAAAGACTTCCACATATTCAGCCAGTAAGATATGATTAGCAAAACATCTGTTAAGTATCTGTGTGTGAATAAATCTAAATAATAAAAAAATCAGTAAAACCATATAGAACAAAGAGTCTAGGGGCCCTCTTATATTCTAGATAATCCAATTTTTGAAAAAAGAGGAAATAAAGGGCTAAGGGCATCACCCAGTGGTAGAATCTTTCTCTGTGGAAAACGCCACATTTAAGTTCCAGCTGTAGAAAAAAGGACTTGGATGACAGTCCATCTTCTTTGTTGTTGTTTTTTTTTTTTTTTTTTTTTTGGCAGTGTCTTCCCATGCCTTGGCTAGCCCAGAACTAGTATAGACTAGGCTAGACTCAAACGCAGAGGGATTTTTATAGGCTATAGCTCATCATCAAGGGAAGCCAAGGCAGGAACTGAACTAGAGACCATGAGGTAGAGTTGCTAACTGGCTTGCTCCTCCTGGCTTGTTCAGCTATTTTTCATATGTAAGCCAGGCCCATCCTCCTAGGGAATCTGATGGGGGGGGTTGGGCAGTTCTGTTGCGGTTTCCTCCTTCCAGGCTGTGTCAGTCACATTGACAACTAAGGTTAGCCATAGCCGCTTTTCCCTATACAACACCAGTGGAATAAGCCTGGGGCTGCAGAAGTACTTGTCTTTAAAAGACGATGCTTCTAATGAGTCCTACTTTTTAGGCCGGGGATTAAAACCATGGTTCCATGGAGACTCTTTGCAGGTGGGTGCCATTCATCACAAGGTTGAACGGAGACTAAAACCACAGTAGTTTCTGCACGTCTTCCAGAATGCACTCTCTAGGTATGCCCTGTGTCCTCATTCGAAGAACAGTATGTCCTACAGATGTCGAAATGTCCTTCCCTGAGCACACCTCAAAAGACCTGTCAGCAAATCTGACCTATTCCCCAAACATTGAACTGAACGAACAGTGAGACTCCTGCTGGTTGAGGTTCCTCTTCTCTTCTCATCGATGTTCTGCAATATTTACTCTCCCCCATCCCCCATCCCACTTCGTTCGTGTGTGTGTGTGTGTGTGTGTGTGTATTGTGTGTGTGTGTGCATGCGTGTGTGTGTGTGTGTGTGTATGGTGTGTGTGTATGGTGTGTGTGTATGGTGTGTGTGTGTGTATGTGGTGTGTTCTTTCCAGTTATCTTTGTCACACTAAGTAGAAACATCTCATTTAAAATCTGACGTACCATGTATTTCACATGTGAGTAAAGCAAAGCACATAATAGCCCACTGATTAGAAATTCCCTTTATTTCCACTAGAAAAATGCAGATGCCCAAATCAGACTCAACACTCAGTGCTTGCCTGTCTGTCTGTCTGTTTGTTTCTTTTATTTATTTTTGACACTAGTGAGAGGCAGCAATGACTGCCATTGTCTTATTTAGTGTGCTTTGGCTCGGGTTCCTCTTTGCTTTGATCAAGCCTTTTAATTAAACTGACTACTGTAATTCCTATGGAAATTAGTGTATATGCTATTTTCTTGCTACAAAAGCATTTCTCTAGAACTTATTTTTTTTTAATCCCAGGAGCACGAATTGGAATTTTTTCTGCTTGAAATGTAATTAAAAACTCATTTGATCACACTATTTCTGGCTCTGTTTTACTTATTAAATTCCTGTAATCAGTTTTCTTTTATGGAGCTGCTGGGAAATGATCTCCAAAGCAACACATTTTTCTCTTCTTTGGCAGGTTCCCGAGCATTTACTAAATTACATTCCTAGCACCTGCCCATGATTCGAATTACTCCACCAATTTATTCTTTAAAGCACTTAAGTTTGTTTGGCCTAGCCCCAAACAGCTTTCCCTCCTAGATTTTCTTCTTTCTTCTTCCTCTGCTTCCTTTGTGTGCAATAAAACACTGGGGTGGGGGAGAGATACCTCTTTTTCAGAATTCCCTCTTTCTTTGTTTTCTCCCGAGATAGGGTTACCACAGGGAGAATCACTTTCCTTAGTGTTGACTCTGGAC